ACAATGTTTGCTGGATTCATAATTGAATCCAGACACAATCTACCAAATTAGTTTAATTTACTACTTAAGCCCTTGTTTGATTCCCATTTTTTTCTAAATACATTTTTCTCTCTCTTCTTTTCAACCATACATTTTTCAATAAAATAATATTAAATGCAAACTCAAAACGTTTTCTTATTTTTTAACGACACATTCTCCATCAATCTAGTATTTCAAAATGCATTCTACACTAAAAATGGGGCTCAAACAAACAAATAAATAATATGTTTCATGTGATAAATAACATTTAATTAGTTAGAGACAGAGAGTAGGGCAACAGAAGTAGAAAAATAGTAGCTCAGCAGATATTATAACATTGAACATACAGTTAACAAATGGAAGCTTTCAATTGAAACATAATTCACCATGTGACCATATTCTATGTCCTACTTTGACCAGTCAACTCAATGTTTTCGTTTCAACATTAAAGTAAAAAGAGCACGCCCATTGCCACAGGTCATGTATTTGTTTACTCTTTACAATTAGTGATTACAATGCAAAAAAAAAGCTTATGATATTTTAGCATCCCCAGACTCCAAACTTCAATACTTCTATTAAATAAGCTCCTCGGTTTACAATTACCCCTGGGATGAAAGCAACAAACTTAAGTTTAAGGGAGTAAAAATTTTCAAGTTTCTTAGTTCAAAGGCATCAAAATCAGTAGTGACAGCTATTAAAATGAATTTGATACTTGTAATCTAGATGTCTATATAGTAGGTGAACAAAAAGTGGTCCCCGAACATTAACAGGGATCGGTATCATAACTTGTTGAAAGAGTCATGATGAGAAAAAATCTGTACGGGAATAATGCTGAGCCTAGTAAACAACGAACCTGAAAATGCGAACTGCTAAGACAGCGTCTGACCTGGCGGAACAAAGGAACCATACAGCGCTGGAACTCAGGAGGCTGAGTTGCTTCTAAGACTTCCTCCAGCTCGCCTAAGAACATCACCTCCTTCGAACTGTTTGTGATTGGCCAATATTTCAATAAGCCCCTTATGACAGTATCGGCAAGTTTGCAATCCTTTTCAACAAATTGCGCAATGCAATAAGATAACTGCTGATGGTACATTGGTATACACTTAGGTTTGTGAAGCGGAATAAGCGCCCGGAGGAGAAAGAGTTTGTGCTCTTCTTTTAATGGCAACGCGAATCCGTTTATAATACTTCCCAAAATCTCCAAAAGTTCTGCAATTCCATTATGCTTCTCGGTTTCAAAAATAAACCGGAAGAATATATTGTTTATAGCTTTCCTAATGTATGGACGGTGAACCATGAACTTTCCATAAATACGGTGCAAAACAGTCTTCAAGTACTCCCTTTCTCTGGGATCCTCTGAATCAAAGAGATCCAATAATCTTAAAACGAAAGAGTGATCTATGTATCGCTTAGCCAACTTTGCGTCTGTATCCGGTGAAGCCACAAACCTGAGAAGTAATTCGTAGACAATTTGCAAATGGGGCCATGCAGGATCCATCATGGGCTCCTCTTCTTCTAAATCAACGCCTTCTAAAACTTTGTTTTCACGAGATTGAGTAGAAAGTGCCCGGAACAAATTTATGGATACCATTCTCACAGTCTCTTGCATAACTGTTTCTGTGAATTTTCCATTTGCGGAAGTAATGTAATCAACAAGCTCCACCAATGTCTGTTTCTTTATGTCTTTTTCTTTCAAATTCATCGTCGGGTCAGTGAAGTCAAATACCACACAACCCAAATTCAGCTTTTTGATAAACAAGTTTTGCTTCTCGGAATTAGCAACATCTTTAAAACTAGGCAGTGCTTCATAAGCAACTACTGCATTCCCATTCACCTTTGAATTAGATGTATGGCCAGAATCCCAAGTTGGATTAATCCCCGAAAGAGATGTAGCATTTGAATTTCCCAACCGAGAGTTTGTAGAATAATTGCTTCTCGAAGAAGTAGAAGAATTTGAAGGGCAAGTCGAGGATCCTCCATCACGATTATCCCCTAACTTGGTCTGTTTCCGTGGGAGCCTATTGAGTATATTTTTAAACATCACCTACACCTAGAAATCACTATCTTCTTCGTGCTAACTCAACTGCTTGTGACCAATCCAATTATTAAACGACCTCCGGTAGACAAACCCTCAATAATGAAGGTGGCATATGACACGCATAAACCAGATAACTAAACCAATTCCAACCACTAGTTGCTATTCGATGAGGATCAGGACTCCTTTATGAAAGCAATCGTCTCCATCACCATAAGCACGAGCATGATCGATGTAAATTCAGATACCACGCGTCTGTGATGTGAAAAAAGAAAACGGAGAGGAAAAAATTAAAACAAATTCACATTAAAGAAAACCCACACCACCAGAAGTTGTACAAGCCAGAGTTATCTTCATTAACCCAAAACAAAAATAGAAAGATCCATTCATCTCTTTTAAGTAAAATTTACAAACCGTCCAAAAAATATTATTCCCACTCTCATTAAGATAAATAGTGAGTCATTATTAAATACAATAATAAAAAGCCCGGATGCAGAGTAAAGTTCAAATTAAAAAATTTACTTCCAAGAATATAATAGAGAGATTCTACATTTTTGACTTCTTCACAACCTCAAACAACAAGAAAAGAAGCAAAATTTAAACTTATTTTTGCTTACTTTGTCACCCAATTTTATAAAGATTTCCAATTATTCTGCTAGAAATAACAAGATCTGCGCATGATCTACAAAACCCATATAATTTTCTTCATCAAGAATCAGCTACAAAAGGCGTCAAACAGTATCACCGAAACCTACCTTAAAAGCAGCTATAAATGCATAAATACCTAGAGAACAAAGTTTTACATGCATATTTACGAGCAAAAAAGTTAATAAAATACGGGTCATTGATTCTTACATGTAATATTAAGCAAATGAAAAGGCACAAAAGGGGAAAAGATCGAGTTTTGAGAACTGGGTCAGTTATTGAAATCTGAAATTAATTCCGAAAGAGAAGAAGAACAAACAATTTGCACTTTGTCTGTTTCTTCTGATTTGATTTTCTGCTCTTTTCAAAACTGCACTGCTCTCTTTTGCTCTTCCCCACTCTCTCTCATACTTTCGGTTTTCAATCGTCCAATACAAACGGAATCAAAAACAGGTTCAATTTATCAAAAACAGGTTCAAAAATTGAACGTGTGGACGTATGATTAGATATTTGTTAATTAAAAAAAATAAAAATATAATACCAATTATTATTTGTCATGTCACCCTATCCATGAGCATGTCCAGAGAGCACTATTATTTGGTTTTCTTCAAGTGGGGATCAAATATGAGGAGAAAATTACGTCATCTGCCCTCGACATAAGTCTATGACTATCCACGAGTTGTTCTCAAACTTTTAAAAAAATAAAAAGTTTAATTGCGATTTGCGAGTAGGAGATTTACATAAAAATAAAAAAATTCTAGAACTTATTTGTATAGAAATTATTAATTAAACGTGTTTGATTGATTTAGTTTTCAATTTAGAAAATATTATACTTATCCATTTGTTATTTTTGAGTAGATGAGAGAGAATGTGTTTAAATTACCTGAAAAATAAAAAGCACATCTCCCTTAAAAATATATTTTCCTTATTTTCAAAGAAAATATGCTCATGTGATCAAACGTCGCAAAATATTTTTCTTGAAAATTTTGTCAATCAAATAGCATAAAAATAAGAAATTATGTTAAAAAAACACATTTTCCATTAAAAATATGGCAATCAAATGCACCCTAAGTAGAAGTGGACAAAACCCAAACCAAGCAGAGTAAACCGACTGACCCGACTCAAATCGACCGATTTGGGGCGATTTTTTGCTTTTTTTGTGCAGGTTTCGAGTTGGGTAATCGGGTCGGGTCGAATCGGGTCGAGTTATGGGTTAACAATCCAAACCCAATCGAATTGACCCGACCCGACCAGAAACCCAAAAATAAAAAAATATATATAAAGGAAAAACGACCTTAAAAACAAAACCGAAAGAGCAAGTCCATCCATGATTCCACAGTGTTCTCACTTCTCAGCGCTGCTTTCTCGCTCAAATCGCCTCCAGGCACTTCACGAATCACGCACGCAGGCCGCAGCTCTCCTCTCCGACCACCGATCCTCGAAGTCGTTCACAGTAAAAGGGCAAGTCCATCCACGATAAACACGCGAATAGGTATGCATCTGTACCTAAGAATTTTGGGTGCAGCCACAGTATCCTCCTATCTGCTTCATGATTTGTATGTTTCCAACCATTTTCAATCGTGTTCTTTCAAAACAAATTCGCTTCTTTAGGATGAATTCTAGTTATATATAAATTGTAGTTTCTTGACATAGTTTCATAGTTTGAGATCTAAATCCCACATCAAATTTTGGTGATTATTTATTTCACAGCTCTTTTTTCTTGATTCCTTGCTTTACCCATCTTTTTATTAACTTAATTCTTCAAAAAGATTGGATTTTAAGGGTTTTTGTAGTATTATTTGTTAAGAAAATCTAGGAACGTGAAATTATCTGAATTTTTTGGCATTACATTTATTGCAATTGGTTAATTGTGTTAATTTGGTCAGTGATGTTATGATGTTACAAATTTGCTTATTTTTAAACCCAAAATGCTTTTGAGAGGGTACTGAATGCTAGGTTGTGTAGGGTTACCTTTTATTAGCTAAAATTCTCGTTTTCTTTAAACCACTAGGGTTTTATGTTCATCTTTTTCCTTTAGAATTTCTCTTGATTCGGTAATAAATCTGGGCTTGTAGATTTTTAGTTGGTAATGTGAAATTTGTTTGTGTATTTTTATTAGATGAATAAGAACTTTCAAGTAGCTAGTACTTTCAGTTTAATTTCACATTATGGATATTAAGGTTTTATATTGTTATCATCAATTGATTTACCTTGCTCTTAACATCTAAGTTTCCTACATGTAGCATTTTTCTTTGCCATATATCCTTCACTGGACAGACTGCTTACTCGATTAGACATCCAAATGATCATGGTGATGTGTTTTACAAATTTATACCATCTGGCATCAGTAGTGTACTGGCCTTTATTTGCCATAGCCGCATTGGCAGCAATAGTTGCAAGTTAGTCTTTAATTTCTGCCACTTTCTCTGTGATCAAATAGTCTATGGTACTAGATTAATTGCTGTAATACTGATATTTGGAGATGCAACAGATATTGGAAATGCATTTGGTAAGATGAAATGATTCCACTCAAGAGACTTGTAGTTACTGTTATAACTATAATTTCTATGATCTTCCGAGCACCATTATATTTAACATAGAATTATTTTGCTATTGAAAGATTATAGATACTGTCTTTGCCAAACTGATCGACCCAACCCAACCCAACCTGATTCGACACTTGATTGGGTTGTGTTAGGTTTCAACATTTACACGGATTGTATTGGTTTGATTTTAGATCAAACCGACCATGTTGGGTTGAGTTGGGGCAAAAACCAACACAACACAACCCAATCCAACCCAACCCAATCTACACCCACCCCTAACCCTGAGTGTTTTTTAAAGTATCAATTTTGATTATTTTAGATCATCTCCAAAAGACTGTTTTAAAAGAGCATATTCTATTATTTGAAGAGTATCTATAAATTTACAAATTTAAAATTTTGAAGTACTCTAACGAGTTCCTTATATTTAACATTTAATTTTACTACTCTCAAAATATTTATTATTTTTTTATCTTTTATTTTAATTGATTTTTCTTTAGATTATTTTATTATTTCCATACAATAAAAATTGAAACACTTTGAATATGTTTAATTATAGAGAATGAGTTTGGACCACTCTCTAAATTAAAATGTTAATTTAAAAAATCTATTAGAACATAATTTTAAAAGTTGACTCTTTAAAATAGATAGTATCTTATATTTAAAGAGTCTTTTGAAAATGTTCTTAGTAGAGGTTTTTACAATTATCCATCCATCGATTCTGAAAATTTTTTAAAAGAGAAAATTACATATATGTCCCTTAAAAAATTGTTCAGTTTATAATTTCTTATACAAATTATTTTTTCAGTTTGTAGTTTCTTATATGAAATTTTTTACTCATAAATGATCTTTTAGATAATTTTCTTTTACATATAAGTTAATATTTAAATTTAAAAATTAAATAAAGTTAATATTTTCACATATAAGTTAATTTTATACTTTTAAATAAGTTTGATTTAATTTTATTAGTAGTATTTTTATTTTATCACCTTGTTTGAGCCATATTTTCTTTTCAAAAATTGCACTTTGTAATAATGTTATGATAAAGAATGTGCGGTTAAAAAATAAGAATTTATTTTGAATTTGCGTGTAATATTATTTTATTGAAAAATGTGTGGTTGAAATTTTGTCAAATCATTGTTTGAAAATACATTTTGATTAAAAAAAAAAAAAATGGGATTCAAACAAGGGCTATAAACAAATTTTTTTTTACATAAAAGTCATTTTTTACTTATATGTAATTTTTTAATTATAATGCAATTTTTCTTATCTTATAAGTAATATTTTACTTATAAGTATTTTTTAAATTCTAATGTAATTTTTTTACTTATAAGTCATTGTTTAGTTAATATACTCTTATTTACAAGTCAGTTTTGAAGAAAATATGTTGGTTGGAAATAATTATTTTATAGAAAGTAAAATTAGAATAGAATATGAGAAATTGTCAAAATCAGCTGATTTGGTGTGTTGAGAGAACCGGTCAAAATTACACTACACTGATTTTTGATATTTTTTTACCATCGAAAATTGGTATCCAAAAAATCTAGCAAACATTGATTTTCCCAACATTTTATAAACGCGATGCCACGCAAAATCGGTGACAAAAAAATAAAAATAAAAACTCACAGGCAACCAACCATGAAAATTGTCTTTAGACTCTTTTTCGGTCACTTTTTTTATAACTCTTTTTTAATCACAAATTTTTTTTAATAAAATAATTTTAAATGTAAATTTTTTTTAAAAAAATTACTTTCTTTTTAATTTTATTCATTAATACCTGTGTACATATCTGAATTTCTATGTTTTTTATGTTGAATAATTGGTTTTGCTTTTAGATCAGCGTTCAACTTGTTTGCCTTGTGAATGTGTGAACTTGTTTTTACTTAATTTGTTCGATTGATCACCTAATTTTATCTCTTAAGCACAATTTAGTATTGGAATCAATAATGTTAAGTGTAACTAATAGAACTCTTTTGCAGCATCAGATGCTGTGTAGAAGTTGCAAATTCTTCTAAATGACATGCTTGGTAGCTAATCTAATATTTCATCACTAAACTTTCAGTAGAATCAAATTGAATGACATAGAATGCCGTATATTTTTATTTTTATTTTTTATACATATATTGTAGACTTTCTCAGTGCAAAAAGTGTAGCATTTCTTCTGATATTTGTATGGATACCATTCATATTTATTCCAGGTACATACCTAGTGGGGTGCTTTTTGATCTTCTTTGTGCAAAAGCAGAGAGGCCTTGGTATCTAACGGTATAAAATTAAGTTTTTATTTACAGTGGACACTTTATGATCCTATGATTTGTAAAGCCATTACAGGAATTTATGCCATATAACTATAGGCACGAAACTCTTAGATTGAGAATGTATCTTTAGAGAATTGTTGTAACAAAACTTGTCCAACACATCATCAGTGTATATTTAGATAATTGAATTGATATTTTTAAGAGTATTTCTTCCTTTGGAATGGAGAAATTACAAAAAGCTATTTATCTGCATTACTTTCTTTGTCCAAATAATAATTGAGCTAAAAATTTCTAATTGCGTATAACAACAAATGGATGTTGCTTTAAGAATAAGAAAACAAAATGATATATCTAATTGATATGAAATTCATATCTCCCTGTGGATTTATAAGCAACTAGATTAGAACACATATGAGTGGTAGATTTATTGTTAAAATACATCTAGGTTTTGTTGTTGCTATCATTGAAGTAGCTCTACAGCCTGTGATGACATCTTAAGCAACTGAAACCTTTTTGGTTGATAGAATAGTTATACTATGTTAAATTTTCTCCGCAGGTACATTTCAGAGGATATCCAGGTAATATTTTAATTCCTTGTGAAGGTGAAGACAGTGTT